AGACTCATAGAATAGAGTTAGAAGGGACTCTACCATGGTATTGTGGGAGAACAGACAGGAAGGAAGGAGAGAAGATAGGAGGGAGGGAAAAGTGGAAGGAATGAAGGTGGGAAAGGGGGAAGGAAGGAAAGAGAGAAGGAGGGAGGGAAAGAAAGAAGCAGGGAAGGAAGGAAAGAAGGAAGAAAAGCAAGAGGTACCGAAGGAAGTAAGGAAGGAAGGAAGAAGAGAAAGTAGGAAGGAAGAAGAGAAAGTAGAAAGGAAAGAAAAATGGATGGAAATGCATGTGGATGCATTTCATGGAAAAATGGATGGAAAAGAAGTAAAGGAAGGAGAAAAGGAAATTAAAAAGTGAAAAAAGGAAGGAAATAGGAAGAAAGGAGACAAAGGAAGAAGTAGAGAAAGGGGGAGGGAAGGAAGGAAAGAGAGAAGGAAGGATGAAACCAAAGAGCGAAAGAAGGAAGAAAGAGATAGAGAAGGAAGAAAGGAGAGAAAGGGGAAGGGGAAGAAAAAGGGGGAAGGAATAGGTAGGTACCTCTCTTTCATAATAGTCCAGATATCTACCTCTACTTCGAAAATTCTTACTATAGGCCACAGCAACGCGTGGCAGGGCACAGCTAGTAAACAATAAAAACAACACACCACGACACAATAAAACTAGGGCTAGGCCAAATGTGAGGGTACATATTAAAAAGTGCTGGGTGTGACAGGTGGTATGTCGGAATTTAGGGTAAGTGCAGTGTGCAGACAATCTTAAAACTCTGATAAAGTGCTTCTGGGACATATTGCTGGAGTTCCTATTCTGGAAAGGCACATTGGAACAGCCAGGTCTTCAAGCTCTTCCTAAAGACTGCCAACGTAGGGGCTTGTCTGATGTCTTTAGGGAGGGTGTTCCAAAGTTGGGGAGCTATCACAGAAAAGGCCCTGTCCCACGTCCCCACCAAATGCGCCTGTAACGCAGGTGGAATCGCGAGCAGGGTCTCTCCAGATGAGCGATGATATGGAGATGTGGTCATGAAGGTAGGCTGGTCCCAAACCGTTTAGGGCTTTGTAGGTAAGCACCTGCACCTTGAATTGGGCTCGGAAAATAAACGGCAGCCAGTGGAGCTCCTTGAACAGGAGGGTTGACCTCTCTCTGTAAGGAGCCCCAGTTAACATCCTGGCCGCTGCCCGTTGGACCAGTTGAAATTTCCGAGCCGTTTTCAAGGGCAGCCCCACGTAGAGCGCATTACAGTAGTCCAATCTAGAGGTGACCAAGGCATGGACCACCCCGGCCAGATCAGCCTTCACGAGGTACGGTCGCAGTTGGCGCACAAGTCTCAGTTGTGCGAAAGCCCTCCCAGACACCACTGACGCCTGAATCCAAGAGGACTCCCAGACTGCGGACCTGTGGCTTCAGGGGGAGTGTAACCCCGTCCAGCACAGGTTGCCACCCTATACCCCGGTCAGGTTTACGATCGACCAGGAGGACCTCTGTCTTGTCGGGATTGATCTTCAGCTTGTTCCTCCTCATCCAGATCGCCACAGCAGCCAGGCTCTCGTCCAGCACCCGAAGGGCCTGATGAGGAGGATGAGGACAGAGGTCCTTCTGGTCGATCGTAAACCTGACCGGGGTATAGGGTGGCAACCTGTGCTGGATGGGGTTACACTCCCCCTGAAGCCACAGGTCCGCAGTTTGGGAGTCCTCTTGGATTCATCGCTTACGCTTGAGGCTCAGGCGTCGGCGGTGTCTGGGAGGGCTTTTGCACAATTGAGACACGTGCGCCAACTGCGACCGTACCTCGCAAAGGCTGATCTGGCCGCGGTGGTCCATTCCTTGGTCACCTCCAGATTGGACTACTGCAATGCGCTCTACGTGGGGCTGCCCTTGAAAATGGCTCAGAAGTTCCAACTGGTCCAACGGGCAGCGGCCAGGATGTTAACTGGGGCTCCTTACAGAGAGAGGTCAACCCTCCTGTTCAAGGAGCTTCACTGGCTGCCGTTTATTTTCCGAGCCCAATTTAAGGTGCAGGTGCTTACCTACAAAGCCCTAAATGGTTTGGGACCATCCTACCTGCGTGACCGCATCTCCGTCCATGAACCTACACGTTCACTTCGTTCATCCAGAGAGGCCCTGCTCGTGATCCCGCCTGCGTCGCAAGCACGCTTGGTGGGGACTCAAGACAGGGCCTTTTCTGGGGTGGCCCCCCGACTCTGGAACACCCTCCCAAAATATCTTAGACAGGCCCCTACATTGGTAGTCTTTAGAAAGAACTTGAAGACCTGGCTGTTCTGATGTGCCTTCCCAGATTAGGAATCTCCAACAAGTCCCAGAAGCACTTTAGTAGAACTAAGGCTGCTGCGCACTGCATACTGCACTTACCTTATAATTCTACATACCTCCTGCCACATCAGCACTTTTAATCTTGTACCCATTACTTTGGCCCGGCCCAGTTTTGTAGTATCTTGATGTATTGTTTATTGCTGTTGTTAATATTGCTTAACTGTTTTTAATTTGCTTTAGGTGTTGTATTGTTGTGTTGTGTTTTGAGGCCTTGGCCTATGTAAGCCGCATTGAGTCCTTCGGGAGATGCTAGCGGGGTACAAATAAAGTTAATAATAATAATAATAAGAAGAAGAACAACCACTGATCTAAGAGCCATACATCTATCTGATTTCCCGGGTAGAAGTTTTGAAGTAGCGATGAAAATAATGTTATGGTTGTCGCCTATTAGATTAGGATTAAGACCGCCATCATGGCCAAAACAAGGTAAACTGGGCTCCTACTAAATTGGCAAGTTGTTTCAAACTCCAAACTTTTTTTGGAGGCCTGCAAGTCTTTTTGTGTTTAAAATAACCCCTTCCCCAGCAATTCCCTCAGCAATGCATGCTTATTTCCATGTCAAATGGGGGTGGTCAGAATGCAGATTGACCCAAGTATGTGTTTCAAAACTGCAGAGAGGCAAACAAAGGGAGCTTCCGGCTTCTATTTCCCTCTGGAAGCTTGAGGGCTCTTCTCCTTTGTCTGCTGGAATGCCTTCCTCTGCAGCACCTCCTCCAGCTTTTCCTCTCCTTTCATTCTGTTCCCAGTTCCAAGCAGGGGCCCCCAATATGGAAAGAGCATGAGGTCACAGGTGATAACAAAAGGCCTTTCATTCCCCGGCTTTGGATTCTCAATGAGTTACTTATTGCTTTGATTTATATCTGCTCTTCCTCCAAAAGCTGAGGTTGAGGGCAGCTCACAAAGAGATTGCTTTTCAAAACAGGGGCAAATCATGGGCATGAAAAAGTTCAACATCTTTCTGAAAAAAAAAGTTTTGCCTGCCAATAGACGGCCAATAAGATGTGTGTGTATGTATGTATGCATTTGTTTGTTTGTTTATTCCATCTTAATCTTTCTTACATCACAATTAAATGTACCTCTGAAGGTGGCAAAGATCTTTAAGACCAGGGAGGCTCCTGTAGAGAATATGGCCCTTCAGATACTTATTTATTTGTCGTGTCAGGGCAACCAGTCAATTGTATTACATTTCTAACAGAACAAAGCAAACAAACAGACAAAATACAAAATTTGTGACTTTGGTAGTTGATTAAATGTCCTTTGTCCAGTATCTGGCCCCTTGGAGTGCCTCTGGTGTTGCTGCAAGAAGGTCCTCCATTGTGTATGTGGCAGGGCTCAGGGTGCATTGCAGCAGGTGGTCAGTGGTTTGCTCTTCTCCGCACTCGCATGTCGTGGATTCCACTTTGTGGCCCCATTTCTTGAGGTTGGCTCTGCATCTTGTGGTGCCAGAGCGCAGTCTGTTCAGCGCCTTCCAAGTCGCCCAGTCCTCTGTGTGCCCAGTGGGGAGTCTCACATTTGGTATCAGCCATTGGTTGAGGCTCTGGGTTTGAGCCTGCCACTTTTGGACTCTCGCTTGCTGAGGTGTTCCAGCGAGTATCTCTGTAGATCTTAGAAAACTATTTCTAGATTTAAGTCGTTGACGTGCTGGCTGATACCCAAACAAGGGATGGGCTGGAGACGTCACTGCCTTGGTTCTTTCACTATTGGCTGTTACTTCCCGGCGGATGTCAGGTGGTGCAATACCGGCTAAGCAGTGTAATTTCTCTGGTGGTGTAGGGCGCAGACACCCCGTGATAATTCGGCATGTCTCATTAAGGGCCACATCCACTGTTTTAGTGTGGTGAGATGTGTTCCACACTGGGCATGCATACTCAGCAGCAGAGTAGCATAGCGCAAGGGCAGACAACCAGACAACTGTGTCTGGTTGTGGTCCCCAGGTTGTGCCAGTCAGCTTTCGTATGATATTGTTTTTAGCACCCACTTTTTACTTGATGTTCAGGCAGTGCTTCTTGTAGGTCAGAGCACGGTCCAGAGTGACTCCCAGGTATTTGAGTGCGCTGCAATGCTCCAGTGGGATTCCTTCCCAGGTCATCCTCAGAGCTCGGGATGCTTGTCTGTTCTTGAGATGAAAAGCACATGTCTGAGTTTTAGATGGATTAAGGATCAGCTGGTTTTCCTTGTAATAGGCAGTAAGAGCACCTAGAACTTTGGAGAGCTTCTGTTCTACCATCTCAAAGCTCCCTGCTTGAGTGGTGATGGCACGATCATCAGCATAGATGAAGCTCTCTGTCCCTTCTGGCAGTGGCTGGTCATTTGTGTAAATGTTGAACATGGATGGAGCGAGCACGCTTCCCTGAGGCAGGCCGTTCTTCTGTTTCCGCCATCTGCTTCTCTGGCCCTGAACTCAACAAAAAAGTTCCTGTTTTGTAGCAGGTTTCCTATGAGGCGGGTGAGGTGGTCGTCCTTCGTGATATTATACATTTTTCTCAGGAGGAGGCGGTGGTTCACAGTATCATAGGCTGCTGACAGGTCTATGAAGACGGCTCCTGTGATCTGCTGCCTTTCAAAGCCATCTTCTATGTGCTGAGTCAGGTTCAGCACTTGCGATGTGCAGCTTTTGCCTTTCCTGAAGCCAGCTTGCTGTGGGATCAGTGTTATAAAATAATTTGCATTTTTTCCACAGCTGGATTTCAGTGTGTCTACGCTGCCATTCCGTGGTTGCTCATGGCATTGAAGGCGGAAACTCCCCGGCTGGACTACATCAAGGTGTCTTCCTCTGTTTTACGTTTCAAAGAAAAGGGGAAAGAGGCTGCCGATCCTGTTGTGCCTGAGCGTACCCCATCCAAACGGGATGGAGCCAGTGCGGACTCCATGGACAGAGGTAGGGTGCATATAGTACTCAACAGTGTATAGTAAACCGTAATGTGATAGCACATCTCATAATGTCTGCCCACAAAAGTAGTTGGCTACTGTGGATCTAGTATGGAAGACCCTCAATGGGAAACCCATTCTTTTTACAGGGGAGCGGCTGAACCCGAGCGGCCAGGAAGAGCCAAGCAGCTCTTGGAGGCAAGAGTACCTGATCGCCGAAAGCCATGGCCGACCAGTTTGTATGGTCTGTGGGGGTATCTTGAGTTCTTCGGGCCCTGCAGCGGCCCGCAAACACATCCTACAGCAGCACGCCCATTCGCTCGACTTCAGCCTAGAAGAGAAACACAACATCCTTGAAGCCTGGAGCGAGGGAGCTGTCCTGCCAACAGTAGAGCAAGCCCCCTCCCCGGAAGGTAAACCCTCATTTCTCTGTACCTAGGAAAATCACTGAGTTTCATCACATAAAGAGTTGCCACTGCATTGTAATTATACCTCCCATTTTTGGGGTGGCAAGATTGGTATTTCTGTGTTCCTCGCATAATAGTCACAGAGCCTATTGTGTATGGAATATCATCGTATTTCATCACATAAAGAGTTGCCACTGCATTGTAATCATACCTCCATTTTTTTGGTGGCAAGATTGGTATTTTTGTGTTCTTTGCATAATAGTCACAGAGACTTATGCAAAGAAKATCACTGTATTTCATCACATAAAGAGTTGCCACTGCATTGTAATTATGCCTCCATTTCTTGGGGTGGCAAGATTGYRWWTTKTGRG